ACCCAGCTGGCTTCATGCCCAAACCAGGACTAGAACTCAGTCTCCCAGTTTCTAGCCTGGTACCTTAACCACTACACCAAATTGACACACACACACACACACACTCTCTCTCTCTCTCTCTCCATCCATCCATCCATCCATCCATCCATCCATCCATCCATCCATATTCCCCTCTAAATTCTATTCTCCAATGTAGCTCTTAAACTTCTATTTGTTAGCATATAAAAAAATATAGCATTACGCTAATTTCTGGAAATGTTAAAGCCATACAAATACAACATGCTTGGGCATGCTTTGGAAACGATTTGAATGAGGTACATTGGAAGGTGCCACAGCAGTGCAGTACCTCTTTAAAGCTGCCATGTATTTTTTTTTCAGGGTTGCATGTGAGCCTGAACAAAAATGTGGCTGCTCAAAAGAGATAACTCATTAAAGCACCCATGTTTTTCTAAAGTAGAAAGATAGCAATGCTAGCATTACTATTACATTCAATTGGATTGCAAAACAAATTCCACGGAGCTTAAATTAGAAAAGCAATTTCATACACTGCAGGACACTAAACATTTCCAGGTATTTATTCATGGAACACACCAAGCATATTTTTCTGCAAGATGGTAGCAAGGTTTTTATGCAACATAACCTTTTATACTTCTTGTTTCACACCTGCTTTGAATTCTTCCATCTTTTATAAAGTGAAAAAAGGCTGTTCAGAACACACCAAATCAGGAAAAAACTGACACATGAAAGAACAGAGAAGTTTGTGTCAATATAAGCAAAATGCCAGTTTTTAGAAGTCTGTGAAGACAATAACAATGATTAGAAAAAGCTGGAAAATTGAAAATGAAACAGATTAGATTAGGTTTCATGTCAAAAATTATTATTCCATGAGCCTTGGTTTTTCTTCCTTTTACAACAGCATTTCTATAGAAATGAATGCTTTCTATATTTACTAATCTCATTTCAGAGTATATGAACTGAATATAAGAATTGCTTGGCTTTACTATCCTATTAATGATTTCTTCTATTTTCAAGATTTGTCTGACAAAAATATGAATATTTGATTCCCTAGACTTCAGCAACATTTGTAACACAATTGTCTAAAATAAAATAAATTCAATTAATAAACTTCTGATTGTTTTAATAAGATATCCAGCATGATAATTTTCTGAGCAAACCTAATTAAACTTTTCATGTTCCTAAAATAATAGCATGAATAAAATAAAATGGTATACAGTATTTATGTCAGTTCAAGTTACTCTTTCTTCTACAGTGTTCCTTCAAAATCTATTCTAATGGATTCCTCAAGTACATGAAGCACACTCTGAAGATGCACAGAGATGTGAAGGCCAAAACCAACCGAAACCAAATAAATACCCAGAGTTTTCTTTTTTTCATTTCCCCCAAGGCTTTAAAAAAATCTATCCATTTTAGAAAAATTAAAATTACAAAGTATTTCCTATTACTTCATTTTAAATTACACAAAACTATTAAGATGTGAAAGAAATTTGTCTGGGTTTGAACAAAAACAGATATAGAATAAATGAACATGTAAAATAATAAAGAAGTTTGCCTTACGTTTCCAGACAATTAGAAATCTATGATCAGAAATCTTAGAAACCATAATACAGCACTTTGGCTTCATAAAAAGAGTCTGATTAGATCAGTTTTCATATGGCAAGATGTGTATTCTGACTCTTGGTTCCCTCTTCTCCATTTTCTTGGGGTTTTTTAAAACATAAAAATCAAAACTTTCTGTATTGGTTTGATGCAAAGAACGCAACATTAGCCCAGAATCCACTGGAGTTAGGCAGCCAATAATTTAAATAAATAAATATATTCAAATTATATCTTTCTTTGTTTTAATACAGTGTTGAAGATTACTTCTACTTCCAGTCTTAAGTTTTTCTATGCTTTTTTCTCCTAAACACGTTAAAATAAAGAGATGCCCTGTTTTATAGTCAGCAGGTTGTAGTTCCATTTGTAGCAAAATGTAACATTTAAAGAGATTTAATCAACAAATATACCATCACCAAATGTGATTTAATCAACAAAACAAATTTAATCAACAAATGTATAATTTATTATTTATTTTATTATTTTATTATTTAATAAACTATAGTTTTCAGCATTATGCACCACACATACTATTATAAGCACATCAAGGTATACATAATATATTACAGACTTTATATATGTGAATGGTGTTAAAATTAAGTATCACATATATTTTATTTTACCAAACATTTACATTATTTCCATTGTTGCAAAATGACACAGGAGCAGCAATGGGCTTAAAGTAGGGAAAGCTCAATTGCATAAATCAATGTTGACTTGTAAAACATTGCATTTCACCTAGTGACTAAATCTGCAAAGTATGTTATAAAAAATGAGCACTTCATATATATCATTTCTCCCCAAATCTTTTTTTTAATTTTTCAGACCCAAATTATATGGTCATCCCAAAAGCATTTAGATGCTTAAACCTATTTATTTAGTTGAGACATTTCTAATTTATTTGCAGCTATGCCACAATGTTTTTATATGCTACAAGATGAGTGTTCTGGATTGAGAACTAGCTTTTTGAGTACCATATATGAGGCTACACATTAAAAGTAGGTGGGGTCGAAACAAAAATATATTTTGTTTTGTTTTGTTTTATTTTATTTTATTTTTAGGTAACGCAATTATAGTTAAATATAGTTAACATGATTATTCCATACCTATATATTTAATAATTTTCTCTTTCCATCACATTAACAATTAGAATTTGATAAAAAGTTCTGGAGTTTTCTGGAAATTGCCCTCACATATGCTTCTGCAACTTCAAGAGCAGATCCACGTACAGCACTTTGTAGTAGTCAAGCTGCAAGAGGACTAGGGTACGAGTGACTATCTGAAAGGCCCCCCAATCAAGGAAAGGGTACAACTGGTGCATCAGATGTAGTTGTGCATAGGCCTTCTTAGCACAGCTGACACCTGCTCTTCAAGCAGGAGCCGCGAATCCAGGAAGACCCCCAGGTTGCACACCAACCTTGAAGGGGGAAGTGCTACCTTAACCAAGGTCAAAGATGGAATATCCCCAGATCTGGGGTGCCCAAACACCCACAACCACTCATTCTTGCTAGGATTGAGTCAGAGACAGTTCCTCCCCATCCAAACTCGCACAGCCTCCAGGTACTGGAACAGAACCTTGACAGCCTCACTTATATCTCCAGTTTAAGATATAATTGGGAATCATCAGTGACCTCACCCAGCGGTTTCATGTAGATGTTGAAAAGGAGAAGAGAGAGAGTAGAACCCTGTGGCACCCCATAAAGGAGGAGCCTAGGGAACGATCT